TGATGTTGTTTGTTTGTTTGTTGTTGTTGTTGTTGTTTTTTTTTTTGGGGGGGGGGGGGGGGGGGTTCCAAAGTTCCTCTCAACTGAAACTGTACACATATCGAATTTGTTCTCCCCTCCATCGAATGGCCACCACTATGGTATTGTGAACAGATATGTACACGGTTAGTTATCATCAACATTGTTTATGAACTCAGGATTCAGCAAGTGGTCTGAAGCACCATTTCTCGTAACTAAGCTAATGATTTGATCCCTCGACAACTGAGGGGTATCTCAAACTTGGCTTGCTGATACTCTCCCCCTTTTTAGTGACTCACCACCTTACAACAAGGCATTCTGCACGACCAATTAATTGAATACGTTGCAGTAGAAGAAACAATCAAACATGCAACAAAGAACATAAGCCAAACATTCCAAAAAGACCACCAAAAAAAAAGAAATACGAGTTTATTACAACCATAATTCATTATTATTGTAGAAAGTACTAAAAAGAAGTAATAGCAGTTTTCTCCAAAAGCTGTTAATTACAAACAAAATGGGCGCCTCGGTTTACGCGTCCAAAGTACGGCCCCTCCAGACGCAAATGTTTGTCCGAGATGCGTACTCCTCACAGCTCAGTCTGCTCGGGTTGTAGTAGTTGTAGTCGGGCTTACACGTGGTGCGGATCAGCTCCCCGGCAAGACACACAATGTACCTAGGGGAGAGTAAGTAAGTAAGTACGTACGTTTATTCAGTGTTCAAGACCATTGGCTCACATCACATTATAAGAAAAACCCACTCATTTGTTAAATAAAATGTGGGGGCTCTCCTACGTGGACTTAGAGGTTTAATTAATGTTCGCCTCTCATTCAAAGGTACTGGGTTCAAATCCGGGTAGCGACGGAAACATGTCCTTCTCTAAATAAATGGTCTCCTTTCACCTTCTTTCCTGCTCTCTAGCAATGTACTGTCGTCTGCTTTCGTCTCCACTTTCTGTCCCTACCACCTCACCTCTTTTGCCCCCTCCTCTGGGCTCAAGACCTTTTCTGTAGCCTTTCTACTGCTACTCCTTGGTCCTTCTTACTGCTGTCTTTCAGCCACACCCCTGATTTTCTGGTAGAAAGGTCTACATTTAGCCTTCTCGGATAAGGACGAAAAAGCTCGGAGGTCCCATGTGCAAGTTGCGCACGTTAAAGACCCCTTGGTGGTTAAAATCGACAAGAGTAGGCTTCGGCCGCCACCCGGGCAAAATTAACAACAATTCTTACCAACTGAAAATGTTTAATGGGTCCCGCGCGCTCATATGACCGTATGTAGTAGCGAGCGCCGTAAAACACTTTCTAAAAACTAATTTTAAAAAAAAATATTAAAATAAAGTTGCCATAATGAATAGCCTAGGGGAGAGCATCACATGAGAAAGTGGTATGAGTACTTCCCTTAATATCAGAATACTATAGCTGAAATTGCCCAAGACGGCCACCTATTGTCGAGGAGAAAAGTGGTTGTCCAAGACAGATGGACGACTTGGAACGTTTCTTAATAAGTTTATTACTACTGGAGTATATTCCATCTCGAAAGTTACTGTAGTCAATAAAAGAAAACTTACGACAGTGCTTTGTGAACTTTAAAAATGGAAATTGGTACAAATGATTGTCTTGGACATGTGACAGTTAGAGCAGGTTCAACTGAGGTCAGAAAGTAAAGGGTTTAAGTCACCATAACATTGTTTCTACAAAAATGCTTTTAAAAAGCTGGGCGAAAGCATTATAATTTATTATACTGCGAGTTGGTGTAATTTGTAACGGCCACAACTCTTCTTTAAAGCCATCCAGACATTTACTTCAATTGCTATGTTGTCGTCTCCCTTGACTTGTGTTATTACCCTAAGAGCTCTATTTTTAGCAAAATGGAACTGGAGACCCAAAAATGTTCTGACCCCATCTCTACTATTTCCCTAGCGCCGAGTCCGGGAGCCAAAAAGCCATAATTATAATAATATAGCAACATTTCTGAATAATTCATACTTTTCACACTGAGTCCAGTCGGGGTAGATGGTCAGCATAGTGAGATCCGAAGGGCACGTGTAGGAATATGCACAGTCTGGGGGGAAAGGAGAGCGGACTATGTTATAATAATAATAATAATAATGGTAAAAATATTTAATAATAATGTAATACTAATAGAAAAAGAAGAAGAAGAAGAAGAAGAAGAAGAAGAAGAAGAAGAAGAAGAAGAAGAAGACAAAGACGGAGGAGGAGAAGGAGGAGGAGGAGGAGGAGGAGATTTTAAAAAACTTCGTCTGCCAATGTCTGACTATGGCCAATGCATCTGCAGAGGACAATAATATCGGGTGTCTAAAAAGAGAGGACCCACTTAAACGGTAATGATTCGGTTATCTTTTTAAAAAGTTTAACCAAATTTAGTAGTAATATAATTTAACGACGAGGATTTTACATTAGCAATATGAAAAAAATCTTCGAAAAGTATCATATTTCAAAGATTTCAACCAAAATTAATTGAAACGCTAAACTGTGCAACTTCTTACAAACTAACAGTATTGTTTTGTATCAAATCGTCACTATGTGTGTATTGAAGAACAAATTAATACAACACTGATATTGCTATTACACTGAAGGAAGGTGTTCACTATAAATCTCCAGGCGTAGACCATTTCTTTCCATACAAGCTCCAGTACGCCACTGTAAATTTTATAAAAAAACTATGGCATATTCTTGGGTCGATTCTTTGGACGTCCTGTTTAACATTGAATTTCAACTGGTCGATTGTTTGTTGGTAGTTTCCCTATACTGTCTGTCCATAATTGATATAGATTCATTCTCTTCGTGTTTACAAACCTAATGTCGTCATTTTGTTGAGTTTTTTTCCTCGAATTTTTTTGGGGAGGAAATTAGACTAAGTGTAAAGATGCCCAAGTCAGTACCATTTAAGTGGGTCCTCTTTGTTAGAAACCGTGTATTTCTCAAAGACAAACAAATAAAATGAAATAAATAAGGAGCAAGACGATTTTGGAAACATTGCGAAAGACGCTATTCTGTCAGAGAAGGTTTTGCTATAATATATTGAGCATTTGTGTTACAATATAAACTATGTTATGGAATGCGTTAAAAAACACCCCTTCAAACAATGCGAGGTAACTTTAGTGACAGGCCCTCCGAATTTAACTAGTGGGAGGAAGGCCTTGAAAGCCCCA